CTTTGTCAAACTAGTAGGAACAGAATCCTCCTCCAGGCTCCATCTTTCTTGGCTCTGTACTTAATTCCCAGCTTGTACCAATAAACATTAAGCATGTTCTTGGCTAAAAAATACACCGCGTTTTAGGTTGAATTCAAGCTTGCACAAGCTCATATAAGGAGCTCGAACTTCTTCTCTCCTAAAACCACTAAATCACCAAGGAAGCTCTCACAAAGCAACAAGCTAGGTAAAGGTGTGTTGGTTAAATAAACGTTCCTTTGATCTTTTGAATCATTTGAAGCTGAAATTATGTGCTAAAGAAAGCTGAAAATTGATTATGGGAGGAAACTATCAAAATAATTTTTAAAACAACAGCTGGTTCTTTGGAACTTTTAAACGAATTTATGCTTTAAAGAAATGTTTACAAACGTAGCTTCTTAGGATTGCGTAGAAAGCCACAAAGCCCTTGTAGTCTGCGGTATAAATTTTAGTTTGAGACAAAGTTGGCATTGCAAAATAGAAGACTCTCAAGAGGTGTCATTTTCAATCTAAAACAAGTACACAACATTAATTCACTGGATGCCCCCAATTGACAGAACACATACCACCACTTTTGCTTCTTGTCTTCTCTGCCCAAAATTCCTCAGACTATTACTTTCAAAAGTTAACAGGTGCAAATGTCAATGGTGATGAATTATTGAACCAACATAGATAGAGAGATTAAATTCATTCTTACATGGATGATGAGCGAGAGATGTTAAATATTTTATCGCAAAACTAATTAATTGTGAGTGGAGCGCTTCATGATTTTTATTAATTGATTCAGTTAGTCTTGACTAACAGATATGGTATTAGTTCTTTTTTTAAAAAAAAAAAATTTATTTTGACACTGCGAATTAATGTAAGAGAAGAAAAGAAAGTAATTTATCAAGAGCAGTAGGATGGAATTACATTTTATAGCAACAACTATACGCAAACGCGGGATTTGTGGACATAATCACATACAATTAGGCAAACCAAAATAAGCAAACTCCCTAAGTTGTTGTTGTACTTTCAGATGATGAACTTAATAGCTCCTCCAGCAGATCAGCTCCTAAGTCTTCAAGCTCCAGAACAATTTTTTTTGGGTTTATGTCTTTATTTTGATTTCTTCTGCGTTTTGACAGACTTCTAATCTTGTGTGTTTCCTTGAGAACAGCAGCTGGTGAGCAACCATTCTCCCAATTGTGCTTAATCCCTTCAAGTGATTCTTGGACTCGATCAGCTGGAAAGTTGAGGGACGCCATGGGACCCCGCAGTGAAAATGCTGCTTGGTCATAGGCAAAAGCAGCTTCCTCCGGGCTGTCAAATGTTCCAAGCCAAACTCTCAATCCATGCCTTGTTGAATCCCTGATTTCTGCTGCATATTTTCCCCATGGACGCTTCCGGACTCCTATGTAACTCTTTTCTTTCTTGTTAGATTTCTTTTTCAAGCTTGAGGTGACCTCTTCTTCATGACTAACTCCTTTGCAAGAACCTGTTTTGATTGACTCTGTGGCTTTGGATTCCCCACTCTCATGTTCGGTTTTCGAAGTTGTACTATCGTCAAGAAAAACGTTATCATCCCACCAGAATGAAGACTCAAATGGGAAGAATTCAGAGGCAGCAGAACCCATTTCTAGATTGAAAAGGTTGAAGCTCTGCATCATAGCCATGTTTATACCTACTTTTGGAATCAAGCGGAGCACAGCGTTTATATATAGTAGGAATTCAACTAGAAAGATAAGGCTGATGGATAATTTGACTTCTTCTTGGCGCAATAATGGTTTCCTAGAAGAGAAGGACCATGAATCTGGGGTTGGATCGAGTCAAGGGTACTTTTTTTTCAACAGCCTGAATCAGACTTTTGTTGTTTTATAAACCTAATCGAGTCAAAGGTACTTGCTAGAAAGTTTTGACGAAGAAGATTTCATCGCAATTAAGACACAATAAATCTACAGAAGTTTTCAATTTGATGCAGGTGAAGTTGCGGGGCCACGGTCCCTCCATCTACCTCAACTCTATGCCCTAAATCCAAAGAACATGGACAGTAAACGTTAGCCTGTGGGGTTGTTGACGTACATCGAAAGAACATGGACATTAGCCACTTGGTTCTTTTTTTGTTTTGTTTTATAGCATGCCACCAATCATAGGAGCATAATAACTCGTAAACCATGGAATAAACACCCATATAACAATAATGAGACTGATAATCCCTCTCTCCCTCTCTCTTTAGGCAAACTAAGGTTAGTTATTGATAATAAAAGAAAACATCCAAGACTTTGTTGAGAACTAACCCCAGTATGCACATATCTCTTCTCAATAAAATCTCGCATGGTTACAAGTACAAAAGCAGTTCAAACTGTCTTAGAAATCCTACGGGCTCTCGCGGGTAGTCCAACTGATTTCTTAGTCTGGTAATTATCAGCAGATTTCGTGATCGACTTTCATGTGTTATCTTATTGTATATTTTTGGAGCAGGGCTTTACACATTCACTTTACACATTCTCAGAGAATTAGTCTAGTCGAAAAGTTAGGATATCTCTAAGTTAAAAAAAAAAAAAAAAAAAAAAAAGAAGAAATCCTACCGTGATGAAATTGAGTATATCCATTATAGAATGAAAGTATATTTTTTTATTAAAGAAAATCTAAACAACCGTTGGCACAGGGCTCAAATTAAATTGAGGTCATGATCCAACATTGAATTGAGGGAACTTGAATTCAATCAATCAGCTCAAAATCCTCAAGTTTCAATATCGCATTGATTGATTGATGGACATCAGCTAGCCAAGTGACGCATCATAATCGTACGGCTTTGACGTCAGCCTCGACCAAGTGGCTGGTTTGATTGCCTAACGGAACATTTATGAGGCCGCCACATTTTTGGCTTTTTGCTATGAAAAATGGGTCAATCCGAACTCGACCCATTTGGTCCAAAAAAAAAAAAAAAGTTTGTTCAGTCTAATCTTTAATTGAATCGGGTGCAGTTTGGACGTAAATATTAAACTCAAAGTAAATATATGCTGAGTTTGGACCTCTTTAGATTCAGTTCAAACCTAACTAAAGCCTAACCCATGTATAAGTATAATTATATATATAATATTCATAATTTATAATTATACATATAATAACATAACACATTAATAATTTATATATAAATTTATAGTAATTCATGATTATTAAATAGATTGAATTTTATATATACTGATAGTGTATGCATTATCACGATTAGATCCAGACACATATGCAGAAGTTAGATTTTAAATTCAAAATTTACATAATTGTTATTTATTCAAAGTTGATAGTGTATACACTGTTAATGTAAAAAAGACTAATCCTATTAAATATACATTATATATAATTATGTATTAATTTTGAGCTTGGGCTTAAATCGATTTGTGCTTGAAACTTCTAGAAAAGTATGAGTTAAGTTTGAGTTTATAATTTGGGCCCAAGCTCAAAAACTTGAAACTCCAAAGTCCTATCAATTTATGAGTCGAGTTTGACCTTTGTTAAAACCCTACTAACAAAACTCGATCCACAGCCCTAGTGACAAATGCATTTACAGAAAGAAACGTGCTGAGTAAGGCCATTTATTTTTAGATTAATTTCAAGGTAGTTATTGGAAGTAAAGAGGGCAGGTGAAAAAGAACTCTCTTATATTATTGAAGGCAAAAAAAGTCAAGACATGTCTCTACTAATTAAGAATACAATCTTTCTTCTCAGGATAACGCTACAGCACAAATTTTTATGTCACGACTTTCTTTAAAGAAGGGGAGGGGGGATGGGGAGGAGGAGGAGGAGAAAGAAACCATGCTTATGCATCTCTAAGTTAAGAACTTAAAATTGCATTCGGAGTTGAAAGGGGTGATCGTGTTATTCCGGAACGTAACAACTTTTAACTGTCTGTGACAATATCATTGGTTGTAGTTTTCTAACTCTGCCTTGGAAAAATTGAAAACATAAAAAGATAAATTTAGGCCAGCTTTGCTGGAAGAAATGCTATCACTATCCCGCATGCAAATTGGCAAAGGACTATATGTTTCTCTAGCTAGGAAGATATTATTTGGTTACGCTACAGTTTCGTAGGCTATAGCAAGAAATTCCAAAGGGACCATTGGCTGATGAGGATTGATAAACACAGAACAAATAGAAAGTTTGGTATCAATGACTAAGACATTGTAAAAATCGCTGTTACGTTTTATCCATCGATATCAATATCAATGTCAAGTTGCTTGTATCATTGAGTAACATTTTGCTGCAGCTAGCAGTTGATTCAGGATGTCTTTAGTAGCATTTTTTTTAACTTCTTGATTTATCTAGTATGAATATTCGGCCTTTAATTAATTTCACTTGACATAGCGATCGTTGCTAATTAATTTCAGGATTTTATCCTTTACAGTTTCTTAAGCAAAGAAAATATAAATATAAATGAAGCAAGTAATAAATTTTATCTTCGAGTATGACTGATTCGAAGGAGAGATTAAACTAAGACAAAACGGAGCCAGAAAAAAAAAAACTGAAATATGGGACGTGAAGACACAGACTGCGATGTTTTGCATGCGGTTTGACCCTACATGCCTTCTTTGTCTCTTCCGTCGGCGGAAGGTCCGGGCGACACCTCCTTCCTTTATCCATTTTTTCTTCTAGTGAAACCGATAGCATTAAATACCAAAGGAAGCAGAAAATCTGCCGGTGTTAAGGTTTTTATTTAAATTTAAACAGTAAGATTTTCAACCCGGTTAAACTCACTTGCATCCCTGTCAATATAGGAGCAGATCAAACCGCAAGGTTTTGATCTTTGTTAAGTAAGCCTGCCCCTACTTGGGCTTTCTTTTTATTGTTTGGGTCCATACATCCAGTTTAGGGCTTTAGTTTGAAATGTCACAGACAGTTTATCGTTCTGCAGCTACGTGGACTCGATTTTGTTCTTAAAAATTGTTGACACCTGAAGTACTTGAGCACAATTTTTTTTTTTTGTGGGCAAATAATAGGAGCTTTTATTGATCAAAGCAATAAGGCTTGTACACAATGGTAGGAGGAAATAGGAAAAACCACTACCACATCTTGCTCCATCATGCAAGGCACTACTTGTCTGCTATACTATTACACGAGGCATTTCCAGTCCGACCCCTACTCAAGCACAAGAGACCAGTTTTCCTGAGTTTTTGGAAAACTTGTCCAAAAACTAGTTGCATGTCTAACTGCTTCCTCAATATCTTCTAGAATTCTAGAACAATCAACCGATTTTGACTGAAAAATGACAGCATTCCTGAATCTCCATATCTGTTACACTGTTGCAGCAAAGCACAATCTTCTCAATTGGTCTGCAAAGGAGTTTGACCTCAAATGTGCCGCAAGCCAACCTAGATTCTGATCCCAGGAGCATGAGCCCCTAAAGGTCAGGCACATATGCTGAACCTTAGCCCACACAGGTCTTGTCATGCAACAGTTGAAATATAGGTGCTCCATGCTTTCCTCTGCTCTTTGACAAAAAACACACATGTTAGATATCAGAGATACACCACATTTTCGAAGTCTATCCATTGTAGGCAACTTCTTTTTACATAAAAGCCAAACGATAAAAGCATATCTTGGAACATAGCCTTTCCCCCGAACCAACTTACTCCACGATACTTCTCCTCTCGTTGTAGCTTTCATGACGGACTTGGTATTGAACACTCCGGAGCGGCATCCTTCCCAAACAACCTGATCCTCAAAATCTGTCAAGGGAACCAGACTTTCAGGTGTGGCCTCCTTTAATCTCCTCATCCCTGCTGTTGCCTTCCTTCCCGTAGGCCATTTCCATTTTCCTTCTACTATGATGTCAGACAACAATGCAAAAGGGCTACAACAGAAATTTTGCAAAAGATTCCTTGTGAAGCATTTATACGAAGGCCCTAGAGGGTGCCCTTGAGCAAATTAATATTATTGATTCACCGCCATCTTAAAATTGATTAAATGAGTTACTTTTAGCGTGAAAAGTGATCCACCAAACTTTTTGCTTTAGGTTCAAGAGAATTTATGCATTGATTTTCAGAGCAAAAAAGCCTGAAATGAAGAAAGGTCAGGTGGATATATGTATGATAAGTGGATATCTATTTCATTCACAGATCAGGTGAAGAGGATATACATGAAATTACGAACAAAAAAGGGAACAGGTAATAATCATCTAAATGTCCCAAATATCCTTTGAACTATAATAGTAAATCTAATATCTCTAACTTATGATGGAATTGTTGTCAAAGTAAAGCAAATCTATAGATGAGATAAAGATAATCAGGAGCAATAATCTAGATGTACAAAAGCAAAAACAAGGTCATTAGTAGATTTTCATCATAATCAACCCTGTTTATTAACAAGTTTCTAAAACAACATGGGCAAAGCTGCATGTTCTCTTCAAATTCCATGTACCGGAGTTTCAGGTGCTGGAAGTGTAGTAATAGTCACATCAGGTATATTCTTAAAATTGGGTTCAGGCAGTAGCAAAGGTCTTTAATTCAAAAGGTAAATAAGAAATTGAGCATCCTAGCTTACACTGATTTTTTCATAGTAATTTGCTTGCCTGCTTTCAGTCAGGAGCTTTATAGCATACAGCTACTGTTTTATATTTGCAGAATTTCTCTCTGCGACCGATTACTGTTTATTCTTTCTAGTGAGAATTCATTTTTTGTTTTTACTAAATTCAATACTCACTTTCGTTGATTCATAACAGCAAACAAGGGGGAAATAATACAATCAACAGATCAGTACAATCAATCTTAATAAGGGTTCCAAGTCAAATACGACTAACAGTATCCAATTGAATTGAGGTTTATTAGCTCTCACAGGATGTTATATGTCGTTTTACTAATCTTTTTTTAGGCCAAAGGCAAAAAGACACAACAAAGAATAGTTTGTGATAATCGATATCCATATTACAGACTAAAACACTTGGGATTTAGTAACATCAAGAATTACAAGACAACATACACCGATACTAGACTGATGAAAAAGGTTTAGAATAATTTTTATGGGATTGAGAGAGACTAGTGGAGTAACCATATGATAACTGATGGTAAAAAAGGGAGAAAGTTACAATTAGTAATCTTAATTTCCCTTTTGCAAAGCTTGTTGAATAATGTGCTGAATCAATTAACTTGATTAATGAGGTAGTTGGAATGCTCTCTAGATAATTGCAATGTTCTCTAGAATGATGGAAATTAAGAGAGTTGTTGGGGCGGTTGGAACACTTCTCTATGTATCTAGAATGATCATTTACAAGTATAAATAGACCTTGTAAGCTCCAAACCAATATAAGAGAGTGTGAAAGAAATAAAACAAGAAAACAATTGAAGCTACCCTTGTCTTCAAATATTCCTCTCAATTCTTGACCTAATATCCAACATATTGGCATCAGAGCTACGGTTTCATTGCCTTAGTCCATACCCTAAAACCAGAAAAATTTGAGAGATTTCCAACTACAAGATGGCCAATCATATTACTGATGGTCTTCCAATTCCCATATTCTCCGGTGAGCACTATGATCATTGGTTCATAAAAATGAGAACAATTTTCAGATCACAAGATTTGTGGGAATATGTAGAGAATGGCTATAGAGAACCAGAAAGTGAAGAAGGTCTCACCAATCAAGAATTAAAAGCACTTAAAGAGCATAGGAAGAAGGATGCAAAAGGTTCTTTCACACATCCAGCAAGGTGTGAGTTCAGATATTTTTTTCAAGAATTATAGGAGCTGATCATGCCAAGAAAGCATGGGAGATTCTACAAAAAGAGTTTCAAGGAAATCTTAAGGTAAAGAATGTTACTCTTCAAACTCTTAGAAGAGATCTTGAAAATTTGAAGATGAGTGATGATGAAAGTATACTACACAAAAATCACCACAATTGTAAATGAAATGAAAACCTTTGGTGAAGAAATTATTGATAGCAGAATTGTTGAAAAAATTCTTGTTAGTTTGGCTCCAAAATTTGATCCAATGGTATCCATAATTGAGGAGACAAAAGATATTTCTTCAATGAGTGTTCAAGAGTTGATGGGATCGTTGAAAGCTCATGAGAGAAGATTGGCTAGACATGTTGAAAAATCTTTTGAAAGCACCTTCCAATCGAAGCTGAATTTCACCCCTAAAACCAATGAACGAGAGCTATCTTGTAGCTACCAAAGAGGTGGAGACTCACAAAGAGGCGGTAGATATGGCCGTGGAAGGGGCAGAGGCAAAAATTCAAGAGGAAGAGGAAGAAACGACCTTTAAAGAGGCCTTAATGCTGAAAATTCACCACCTTGCAGTTATTGTGGCAAGACCAATCACCTTGAGAAAGACTGTTGGCACAAAGACAAGCCAAAGTGCTACTATTGCAAAAGATTTGGCCATATTGAGAAGGATTGCATATTCAAAACCAATCACCAAGTACAATTTTCAGAAGACAAGCAAGGAGAAGGAAACTTATTCTATGCTTGCCACATAGCCACTGAAGTCAAGAACAATATGTGGCACCTTGACAGCGGTTATAGCAATCATATGACAAGAGATAGATCCATTTTTATTGACTTGGATGAATCTATAAAGACTGAAGTGAAGATGGGCAATGGAGTCATAGTTCAAGCACAAGAATTGGGAACAATTGGTGTCCAAATCAGGCAAGGTATGAAGTTCATTCGTGATGTTTTATTTGTTTTTTATTTAGACCAAAATTTATTGAGTCTTGGACAGCTTCTTGAGCATAAATATGCACTTAACTTTGATGATTATGAGTGCTGCATCTATGATAAAAAAGATGGTAGACAACTTGTGATGAAAATTCAAATGCAAGCCAATCGAAACTTTCCAATCAAATTCAATTATAGTGGAAATCAAGCCTTGAAAGTAAATGTCAATGAAAATTCATGGTTGTGGCACAAGAGGTATGGCCATTTGAATTTTCATAGTCTCAAAGTGCTTCAACAAAGAGGGATGACATATGGCTTACCAAGAATTGAGGAGAAACATGAAGTTTGTGAAGGTTGTGCACTTGGCAAACAACACCGGCAACCATTTCCTGAAGGAGCTGCATGGCGAGCCAAGAAGATCTTGGAGCTGATTCATACGGATATTTGTAGGCCCAGGAAGACAACTTCTCATGGAGGTAACAAGTATTTCATCCTTTTCATTAATGATTTTTCAAGAATGACTTGGGTCTATTTCATGAAAGAAAAATCCTAGGTGTTTTCAATTTTTAAGAAGTTCAAAAGTCTTGTTGAGAAACAAAGTGGCTGTTATATCAAGAAGTTGAGGAGTGATCGTGGTAAGGAATACATCTCAAATGCATTTCAAAAATTTTGTGAAGATGAAGGTTTGGAGATGCAGCTGACCGTTGGCTACACACCACAACAAAATGGAGTCTCGAAAAGAAAGAACCAAACTGTGATGGAGATGGAAAAATCCATGATACATGACAAAGGGTTGCCAAAGGAATTTTGGGCTGAAGCCGTTTATACAGCTGTGTATTTGCTCAATAGAAATCCTACAAAGGCCGTATGGAATCAAACTCCAATTGAAGCATGGAGTGGAAGGAAACCGTCAGTGAAACACTTGAAGGTTTTTGGGAGCATTTGCTATGCTCAAATTCCAAAAGAAAAGAGATATATGCTTGATGAAGTAAGTGAAAAATGTATTTTTGTTGGTTATAGCTCCAAGTCTAAAGGTTATAGATTGTTTAATTTGAAGACAAACAAAATCATTAGTGGTCGAGATGTTGTATTTGATGAAAATGCTGCTTGGAATTGGGATGAGAAAAATATTGTGAAACAGGGTGTTTGGCATCATGAAGAAGAAGAATATTCAACAAATGAAAAAGAAAATGGTGATGATTCAACACCAACAAGCAGTCCACCATCAACTCCAAATTCAAGTTCGAGTTGGTTCTCCAAACACAACTCCAAAGAAAATGAGGAGTTTAAGTGATGTTTATACAAGATACAATTTTTGCATTCTTGAACCAGAAAATTTTGAAGAATCATATGCAGAAAAGGACTGGAGAAAGGCAATGGAAGATGAAATTTATGCAATTGAGAAAAATGAGACTTGGAAACTAGTTGAAAAGCCTCGAGACAAGGAGATCATTGGTATCAAGTGGATTTACAAAGTTAAGATGAATCCAGATGGTTCAATCCAAAAGAAGAAGGCAAGACTTGTTGCTAAGGGTTTTTCACAACAGCTCGGAATTGATTACAATGAAACATTTGCACCGGTTGCAAGATGTGATACAATTAGAGCTCTCATTGCCGTAGCAACTCAAAAAGGTTGGAATCTCTACCAACTTGATATTAAATCTGTCTTTTTGAATGGAGAATTGAAGGAAGAGATGTATGTTTAACAATCTCAAGGTTTTGTCAAAAAAGAACAAGAAGACAAAGTGTATAAGTTGAAGAAAGCATTATATGGATTGAAACAAGCTTCAAGGGTTTGGTATAGTCAAATTGATTCTTACTTCATGGAGCAAGGATTCAAGAAGAGTAAAAGTGAGCCAACCTTATATGTGAAAACTCAAGATAACTCAAACATTCTCATTGTTGCTTTATACGTTGATGATTTGCTTTACACTAGTAACAATGAGAAGATGATTGCTGATTTTAAGAAAGACATGATGAAAAGATATGAAATGAATGATATGGGACTGCTACATCATTTTCTTGGTATGGAGATTTATCAATATGATGATGGAGTCTTTATTTGTCAAAAGAAATATACTGAAAATATTCTTGTAAAATTTGACATGGCTGATTGTAAACCTAGGGCTACACCACTTGTTGTAAGTGAAAAGTTTGTCAAGAAAGATGGTGAAAAAAAAGTTGATTCCACTTTGTATAGAAGTTTGGTCGGAAATTTGCTTTATCTCACAGTTACAAGGCCGGGTATCATGTTTGCTTCAAGTTTATTATCACGGTTTATGCACAATCCCAGTCAATTACATCTTGGAGCAGCCAAGAGAGTGTTAAGATACATCAAAGGGACACTTGATTAAGGCATCAAATTCAACAAAGACACTACTTTAAATTTGCATGGTTATTGTGATAGTGATTGGGGTGGATGCCTTGATGATATGAAGAGCAACTCAGGCTATTGTTTTTTCGCTTGATTCTGGAGTATTTTCTTGGGCATCAAAGAAGCAACAAAGTGTGGCACAATCATCAGCTAAAGCTGAATATGTATCTGCAAGTTTGGCAACATCACAAACCATTTGGCTTAGGAGAATTCTTGAAGACATTGATGAGAAACAAAAGGAAGCTACGGTGATGTTCTGTGACAACAAATCAGCAATTGACATTGCCAAAAGTCCAGTTTATCATAGTAGAACTCGCCATATTGCTATCAAACACCATTTTATTCGAGATGAATTGAAGATGGTGAAGTTGAACTAAAATTTGGCAAGAGTGAAGACCAAGTTGCAGACATCTTTACCAAGGCACTTCCAAAAGACAAGTTCAACTATTTTCGAGAGATGCTTGGAGTTCAAGAACAACACATTAAGGGGGAATATGTTGAATAATGTGCTAAATCAATTAGCTTGATTAATGAGGTAGTTGGAATGCTCTCTAGATAATTGCAATATTCTCTAGAATGATGGAAATTAAGAGAGTTGTTTGGGTGGTTGGAACACTTCTCTATGTATCTAGAATGATCATTTACAAATATAAATAGACCTTGTAAGCTCCAAACCAATATAAGAGAGTGTGAAAGAAATAAAACAAGAAAACAATTGAAGCTACCCTTGTCTCCAAATATTTCTCTCAATTCTTGGTCTAATATCCAACAAAGCTAATGATTGCTATTGCAGATTATTATATAAACTATTGCCATTTAACTTGTCTTTGCAAACTGATTGCTTATTAAGTCTCTAACAAGTAGGTATAGAAACGGACATGTTTCCAGTTCGAAAATTTTGTTTGCAAATGTGCTGCAAACCTTTATAGACTTCTTGAACTTTTTCAGCAGCTGCAAACAAGGAATCGCAAGACCTGGGATAGGCATCATTGAAGCTTTGTTATGTGGATTAAAAATAGGCTAATTATGGGTAAAAAAAGGACTTTTATCATACTGAATTTAAAGGTTTGATATAGAATGGATAGTAAGTTAGATGATCATAACGTATACAAGGTTCTGGAAAATCACAAGATTAAAATAGTTACACGACCACTACTACAGATGCTAAAGAGAAGATGCATTAACTAGTTGTAATAAATTGCTCTCAAATATATATATATATATAGACAAACCCACACACACACACACATATATATATATATATGCATATATATTTTGCTGATACTGTAGGATGCCAATTCTGGCAGACTTTCAAACTAGTACGAGAAAGTTTCTAGGTTCTAGAACTACTCATGACATACAATCAGTGGTTAAAATTTTGGAAGAAGCTACGTTAATTATATTAGACAATTCTTTTTCAAATGACTACCAACATTGGGTTATTTGTATATGATGATTTGCATAGCTTGCTCCATACTACTATTTTTTTCTCCTCCCTAAATCATTAACATAAACTTCGGAATTTAGATGTTTTTTTAATCTAGTCCAGGAAGCAATGGAATGATGGAGGTAATCTATTCTAACCGAAGTTAAATGGATGTCAAGCTGAGAAAATCTGTTATTAAGTGTGGAGATTATGCTAAATCTAGGACTAGAAGCTGAATAAAGAACACACCTTTTGCTTGAATATTTTGTTCTATTGAATAGATTATATTGGATGGTAGAATATGGCCGTTATTATTGACAAATTGATCATGTATAATGATAAAAAAGAAACTGTCATTATCACCATATAGCATCATACATGATGAAATTGTAATGTGGCCAACATCAAATTTTTAGGGTACAAATGATAAGGAAACTATGTTACAAGAAGCCGTGTTTAAATTTTTTTGCGGGTTAAGGTAGTAAAACTAAATTAGTAGTAAAATACATAGTTTAACCATTGAGAAAATGATTGAAAACGTAATAACGAGTTTTGCTTGTAAAAAAGCAACTTCATGTGTTATCATGGAAAACAAAAGAAAGAAGCTTAGTGGCACTGGCGGCCAGGTGTGGGACACCGCCTATGTTTTGTATCCGTGTTTTTAAGCGTGTTTTTATTATACAAGTTTTCAAATAATTTTGACCATATCTACTTTTTAAAAATACCACAAAGTTTAAAATACACATCACAAAATACATAAAAATGCACATTTATTTCTTTTTTTACCACCACTCTTCCTAACCATTTTCGCTTTCATAGCCACCGCCATCATATGAGCCCACCACTGTTGGTTGCCACCTCCGCATCATCTGAACGTACCTCTCTCTTTTTTTTAAAAAAAAAAAAATCCTCGCTTTCTCACCCCCTCCTTCTCCATCTCTCTCTTTCCCCTCCTCCTTCCTCCTCCGCTCCTCTCTTCTCCTTTCCCCCTCTTCTTCCTTCCCTCTCCCTCTCCCCCCATCCTTTATAAATATGAAGTAGGATAATAATTGTTAATATGCATATTTACATGCCAATGTAAATATGATTGTGGTGTACTAACAAGTGCTCACTCAGTACCAATTGGAAATGCATTGCAATGTCTCTTGCTCAAGTACGTAAATAATGAGATAATAGAAAATATAAAAGAAATGCAAGTAAAATAGGAAAACAGAAGTTTGAAATTCTTGGACACAGCCGTCTCATCCATTAAGAAAGAAAAATGCCAAGCTTTCCTTTCTATATTCTTTTTTGAATCCCGCAGACCGCAAATGACGTCATGGCAATGCAAATATTTTGCAATTGTGAGCGTCATTGCAACATGTATGCTCTAAAAAATTCCAGTGGGGGCATCAAATTGGTCGGAATTCCATGAACGAATAGTTGTCAGAGAATTTTGACAGCAATCATCTATATAAATCCAGTACACGTATATAATACAAGCTTCTTAGTACCCTTCAAACTCCTAATCATATGACAATTGAAGTTTCTTCTGTTCAGATATTTCTCATCAAAAGAGTACTGACTACTAACCTGAGAAAAAGGAAGAAACCTACGAATGGAACCTTCCTGGATCCAGTTTTCTTCCATAAAACAGTCTTCTCATCATCTTACAAGCAAATTATTGCAGAAGGTGAAAACCTTGATTTCTGCATTGCTGGTGATGAGGATGAGACAAGGTATTTATGGGACACTGGTCCATCCAGCAGTACCAGTACTGATGAGAATGAAATCATCTTCAGTCTTCAAAAAGAGCCCGAAAAGCAATACATAGGTGTTCGAAAGCGGCCGTGGGGGAATAATGCAGCTGAAATAAGGGATTCTACAAGAAATGGGATAAGGGTTTGGCGTGGAACTTTTGATACTGCAGAGGAGGGAGCTGTGGCCTACGATCATTGCAGGAAATGGGATGTGAAGACATGGGTGGAGAATCCCCAGTTGCAGCCTTGAAAGAGGTACACAAGATGAGAAATAGGTCGAAACGAAGATGTTTTGGCGTTTGAGGACTTGGGAGTTGGGACCTGACCTTTTAGATGAGCTATTAGCAGAAACTAGTTATTCTTGAAGGTAAATTGGATCGGTAACTTTGGCTCCATTTTATTATACCTAGATGTTCCGAATTCTATTTCTTTCCGCTCTTTTTTTTTATTAACTAATATTAACACTGATTCCTTATATTTGTTCCTTTTCTAGTCACGTCCATATCATTACCAATTTTTTGAACCCTAATTCTTTCTGTGGTGATTCTTTGACACTTCATTCTCTCCACCTATTATAAGGATCTAGAGGGGACCTATTAATTGCGCACTGAATTGCATTTAACTGACGTGAGTTTCTACGACTGTGGTCAGAGAAAACTTGCATGATTGCATCAGAGTGTAAATTAATTGGACTGGCCAAAATCAGACATAGGTAAACGCTTTTAAAATTTCTTTAGAAATGATTGTTCAAGATTCATTGTATACAGATAAGGATTTTACACTACGAGTGCTGATGATGTAAGAATGCAAGGACAGGAACATGTAGACTGAAGTTGGGGATGCATAGACTAGAGATATGTTATAAATTAAATGTTGTTAAAAAGAAAAAAAGATTGAAGACAGGTTGGTTCTTGATCCAAGCCAAGGACGAACTTGGAAAATACAAGGCACCATCAAACGCACTTGAAATATAAGGATTTGATCAGTTTTTGTGGAATTCTAGCTTGAATGTGTAACGTTATCAAACCCTAAGCAAATCAAGCTTGAAGCTTTATTTAATTCACTTTTCAGCCAACGAAATTGATTGTCAGACATAATCCACCAGATTAATTAGTCTGTTTGGTTAGCAATTAATTGAATATAGGATGACAGGGCAATATATTAAGGTTTCTCCATATATATGTCATTTTCCCATCATCTATGATTTCGATTGTTGACAATTCAAACTCGGAGCAGTCTACAGCTAAGAGGTTCAGGTATTCATGTCTTACTATAATGATAAGATAATTTATTTTTATAGAGCTTTGTTTATGCAACCATGCATGATGACGAATTGACAATAGCCATAGTGCCATACAACATATTTAATACTGCAAGAAAAGCACCTCGACATTACCCTAGTATCAATCTGTGTATGCATCCCACATTAATTATTGATTTTGTAATACATTTTTCCTTTTTTTAAAAAAATATGTCTTGATTCTCACATTCTGACCCCGGGAATTTGTCTTCTTCCGTCGGCGGATTCCGCACGAGGACAGCTCCCCTTAGAAGTAGGAATAACAGCATTTAAATACAGGACAGGTACCCTCTGTAATAGGACCAACTATTTCTTTTTTTTTTTAATTTCTTTCTTTCAACAAAAAAATTTTAAAAAAAATTCCTTTTCTCTTGCTTTGAGTGATTGTATTAATTTATGCTCTCAGTTACCGTTTTCCAAATGATAATGAGGGTTCAGAATTCAAAGTTTCAAAGCTCATTCCTCCATTTAGATTGATGGCCACAAGCAACAACTCGGACCAACTTCTCTTCTTCGTCTATCGAATGAAAATCCAAGCAAAGGTACGATGGAGTATAAGACTTTGTCTATGTTCGTAGACATAGTCTATCTGGTCTAGTCATATGAAGTTGGTACAAGGGATCTGATTTTCTTGATTGTTGTAGTATCTTTTGGAGCCAACAGAAAAAGTTAAATCAAACAAGAAATGCTGATTGAGATATGGTACACGCTATCAATTGACTGAAGACTAGTATCAATTCATATGTAACTAGCCAAGACCTTAGTAGAGGAAGGTGAAGTAGATTAGAAAAACCTGCCGATGTGATCTTTTAAGTTCTAGATTTTTTTTTTATTTATGTTTCTTATAGTGGATTAATCATTAATTATAATGCGCGAATAGAAACAATAAACTTCATTAAGATTGGTTAAAATTATCAAATCTTTACTTCCTTAATTAGATAAATCTGGATGTCAGTCTGTTATTAATTTGGGTCAGCAGATGCTGAGCGGAGGCTAATATAAGAGTAGAATAATCTAAGTTTAGACCGAAGAATAAAATGAAAATTAAGAATTGAAGAATTTTTTTTTTGTTTAATTTCAATGTTTATATGCATTCATTAATTCGGCCGCACAGATGCTGAATTTACATGTGGAATAATTTGACCTAAAACAAAATACGAAACAAATAATTTACGTTAATGGAGAATCCTTTTAGGATGCTCATCAGAGCTCTAGATATCGATGCCCTTCGAAAGGACTTCGTCTTCTGCTCTAAAGAAGGAAGATTTAAGACCCCCAAATTTTGTGCCAATCAAAATTGTTTTATCAGATTCAGCTATCATTTATTAAATCTCCTTTCTTAGTTATTCAACTTTATATTGCTTCGAAATCTATGAAGGTGTTTCTTGAAATTGCTTGTTAGAGATTTTTGGGATAAGGTGATCGAGGTCCGCCTAAGTATATAACGCATCCATACACACATTTTTGGTATAAGGTGAGATTCTTATTACACCATTTTTCTATACACAATCTAAGTTTTGTTCATGTTGGATAAAACAGTTACTTTTGTGCTCCAATCATTCAACGGAAAGAAGGTGATGAGTTTGAGAGCGACAAAACCAAAAAAAAAAAAAAAGGCAATTATGATATCTATCTCATCCATGAAAAAAGCGGGAAATGACGTCCTTTTGACTGAAACGAACACAGCAAATAATTGAATCCTATATGATATCTATCTCATCCACGAAAAAGCATTAGACAGAAATTTATGGATTTTTTTTTTTTGGATGAAACGAACACACAAAATGGTGTAACATCGCATATAGATAGGAGAAAGGGTCAAACATCAAAACCCTTCAACCAATTTAAAGCAGCCTTCAAAGGTTTAGACTTTCTTTCTAGGTTATCTATCTTTTTAAAAAAGAAAAAAAATTATGGAGTATATTTCTTAATAAAATTTCAATACAACACCCCTTCTAGTATACTTAAGGTCGCAAAGATTTCATCCTCAACAAGTGGATAGCTGTTTCTGATCTTTCAATTATGCCTTAGTATCATGTTCTCATGATCTTTTTTTCCAAATATTTAACCATTCAATTAACAAATATGCATAGTTGCATTCCAATCACTTTCAATCTTTTTCTTTTTATTGATTGTGACTCTTGAAATGTTATTTTATTATTAAAGGTTCATGAATGCGCCCCATTTTTTTTGTTGGATTAAAATGCATGCATTTCAAGAAAAAGAAAGAGACTTGTTTGGGTATTTACTTACAACTTAATTGAAAGAGACTGGCTGGCAAAAAAAAAAAAAAAACAAGTAAAGAAAAGCAAATGAATTCATGGGCCCAAACAATATGTTATTTTGGAATGAAGATAATATTAAAATCCAGAAGCAGGACGTGAACCCCCAGAAGGTGATATTTTCACGACCCCATAATGCTTTTTCTTTGTCTGCTTTCGTCGGCGGATGGTCCACTCTGTGCCCTTTACTGGACCAGTAGATTCAGCAGTGAATTTCATAAGAAACCCTTAACCAGTTAAGTGTCTCCGTTGATCAAGTACTCTTACTATACAATTTGTTTAAAACAGTGATATACTGTTGGCACTTAAGTTTCTAGCAATGTTTTCTGGTTTCGATGAGTCCTATATTGCCTCAACACTTCTGTAAAAGTAAAAATTCAAGCTAGCATGAATTGATGTCTAAACGCCTAGATGGTACTCGACAGAAACGACTAAATACAACTAAAATGATCATCACAACTGCTCTTATGCTGAGTAGTTTATCCGATGGGACAGTATTTTATCATCATTTGAAGTCCCAGTGGATGAAGCTAGAGAAATTAAGATTAGACATCTGTGAGCCAGTCAAATATTGTTTGCTATAATGCAAGCTGAGCATTTTGTTCACTAGCACTAATACAACCCTGTGTCCCCTTGAAACTGAAGTTACAACAAAGTAGCTAAGAGTTAGACTTTCAAATACCCTTGAGACATCAGCATAGAAACCAATTTTAATATCCAAATTCCAAACTACTAATCTTGTAAAGAACTTTAGCTTGGGTTGCTTAGACAAGATTAAAAAAAAAAAATAGGGTTCTTCTTTCTATACTACCAGTTCAATACTTGCTTTTCCACTTAGGGCTAATAACACTTTGCCCCCCTGAAAGTGGGGGTAAAAACACCTTGTCCCCCTCAATAAAAATAATTGGCACTTTACCCATTTGAAAGCATTTCATTTAATGTTTGTATTAAGTATTCCATTTGAAAAAGCCAAAAAATTATAATGATTAACTGACAATTCTATCCTTATCTTGTAAATTTTGTCTTTAGTCAAATTGATTCTATGAAAGCATAAGTTATAACACCGTTTATATAATAGATTACTCCATGATATATATTAGTAGATAGCAATAAATATATCTGCCTACAAAGAAGGCTAAAAAACACACGACATTTCTATATGATAGGTACAAATAAGAGAATATCTAAAATAAAAAATGTGGACTATCTTTTAGTTTATTCCTATTATTTTAGTTGTACGTTGCTTAATATAGGATTTTTTTTATATATAATATATATTAACATATAAAATTCTTGCAAATTTGGTTGGTAATTGAATTTTAATATCTATTGTCAAACTATTTTACCAAATTTTAATTAGAAATTTAGTTATCAAATTTGAATATCTATTTCAACACTATTTTATCAAACTTTAAAGTTTAGATATTAATTGATTTTATCGATTTTCGTTTGACCAATATCCGATTTAGATTGGATATACTGATTTTTTTCCCAAAGTTTGAACAGCCTAAAATGTGTGTTATTTTTGAAGAAAATCTCTAGTGCTACATATCATTTATATTTCTCAATAAATGTCCTTTATAAATTACTATCATTGATCGACAACATAAGGGTAAGTTATTTATCAATAGCATAAGAGTAAAATTGTCAACATGTTTAACCAGACTATTTTTCTTAATAAATGTCCTTTTTAAATTTGGATTAATTTGCTATAGACTAACAGCATATACACCATTATTTGGATTGAAAATTTTAATCCAAATTTTATTTATGTATCATGCATCTAACCATAATTATGTATACATTGTACATAAAATTAACTCTATAAATTTTTTTTATTTATCAACAAAAAGGGTAAACTTGTTAACTTATTTTTTTTGTCAAAATTGTCAACTTATTTAAGCAGTTCTTTTCTTCTTTTTTTTTTTTGCATTTTCAAATGGAATGCTTACTACAAATACCAAACAAAATATCTCAAGCGGGTAAATTGCCCATTATTTTCGTCGAGGGCACAAAGTGTTATTACCCCCCACTTTCAAGGGGGCAAAGCGTTATCAACCCTTGCATTTATCCATGGTTTCAGCAACTATAAAGTCTGCTATGAATTTGTGGAAGCGTTTTCTTTTTTTTTTTTTAAAGGAAAATATTTTCTGCTCAAACCCCTCCCAAGAGCTGCGCCCTAAATTTCCCTCTTCTGCACAACTCCTCTCCCATCATCAACACCACATCCTACAGTATACAGACCCTTTTATTCAGCAAAACACAGCAGCATAGTGTAGCAGCAACTACAATCTTCTTTACGTATTCAACAGGTAACTTTCAGTGAAGATAAAGGCTCTAAAGTTTTCGCCACGTCCCAGCAGAATAGCAACGCAAGAAGAATAAATGGTGGATAGACTTAAACAGCCATTGAATAGAGGAGACAAGCTTCATCAACCATTACTCTTCAGCTTCTCAATCTATCTGTTGTGGTAAGTTTTTTTTATACAGAATGTAACCTCCATTATGGGTCCGTTTGGTTGGACTGAAAATATTTTTCTAGGGAAAATATTTTCCATCGAAGTCATTTTCCTGGAAAATCACTTCCTTCTCCATAATTTTCCAGTGTTTGGTTATTAAGTGAAAATATTTTCCGAATTCCTTTTTTCATAATTTTTCGATGTTTGGTTTGTCAATGAAAATATTTTCTGATATGTTTGTTGATATATTGCTGGCATTGTAGGATCTTGCGGTCTGGGTTGTGGAACCGAACCGAAGTCTTGCGGACCAAATGTGGGATCTTGAACTTGAGTTGGGTTTGATGAGGTAAATGAGATAAACTTAGAGTTTGCATAGACGGTGTCTTGAGCCTCGTGATCGTACTCAACCCATGATGATGAAGATGATGATGTTGGTAATGGTGGAGCAGAGGGCTCATATGGCGGACAGTAATATTGGTACTGACAATGGCATGGTGGTGGTGGTGGGTTATCAATGAACAATGCCTTCTTCTTCTTCTTCTGCTTTCTTGACCAGAACTTGAGCTTCTTCACGGCCTTCATCATCTTCATGGCTGGCCTTCTTGTTTTTCGTGGAGAAAATGAAAAAAGTCCACTGGTGCTGTATTGTTCAGCGGAATCTTGTAAGTTGATTTATTCAAATAGAAGAGATAACTTGGCTGTGGCAAAGTACGGATCTGGAAGTGGAAGCGAGATTTGATAGTCTTACGGAGGACACTTGACAAAGCATTCAAAGACAGAGAAGTTAAAAAACTTCTGCAACTCTCACCAGCTCCTTTTTCATGAGTCCTGAAGCCGTCGGAAATTAACTTCAGGAAAATTGTTGTGGAAGTCATTTTCCACCCGGTGGCGTGAAAACATTTTCCAGCTGAAATAATTTTCCAACCTCTTTTGCTTCCAAACACCAGAAATTCTGGAAAACCTTTTCGGGAAAATATTTTCAGTCCAAACAAACATACCCTATATGTTATTGGTTTTACTTGTTTACTGTAACTTTTGCTAATATGTCAATGTTTTTTCTTTTTTACTGGTAAAAGTATTAATTCTATTGAATAGCATCCATTAGTTATTAGTAGCAAAACACCTACAAATACATAACAAAGGCCTTTGAAAAATAACTAACTATATATTTACATCAAATTAAAGATGCATATAGAAAAGTCCCTATCCAAACTAAGCTCCCATTTGTTCTCGGCATCTTCCTCCATCTAGCAACTGCTTTTCGAATTTGATGTAATTAAATCTTATGACTACAACTTCTGTATACATATTCAGAATCGATATCACCCATAAATTTTATGATAAAACACTTAGTTTACTGGTAAAGAATCCTTTTCTCAAAAGTTAATGTGAGCACGTACATTATCAAGAAACTAATTAAACATGTATTCTCTATCAAAGTATCTAGGACATAAAGATCAAATGTGAGAAAAATATAACCAGACTAAATTTTTAGCAAGTCCAACCTGACAACATTTTTTAACTTCTTCATTTTTTCTTTTTTCCTTTTTTGGTGGGCTCAAATCTGAAGGAAGTTATTGGAATGTAATATCCTAAGATCATGATGAAACTTGAGAAGCTAAATGAATTATATTGCTGAGCCATTTAAGTTATACATTTATTAAACCTCACCTAGCACATTCAAGGGAGCTTACCCAATAATTTCATTTATCTTCAGCTCTTACCAGTTAAATTTTAGCTGAAATTCATGATTTGAAAGTCAATTGTTGTGAAGACTGGTAGAGATCGACTTGAGCTCCAACAATTATTGCACAAATGGACAATTCTACATCATCTCCTCCCAACTCAAATAGATCCAAAAATACTAATAATAATAATAATGATGATGATGATGATGATTCAGAAAAGAAGATGCTAAAGCTTCAAGTACTAGCCAGTAGAAGCCATATCAGGTGCAACTTATTCTTTCATTATGGGAACTTAATCCACCTATAGGCAGTTTCAAACTTTGCAACCATAGAACAACCTGTAATTAGTATTTTGCTTCACGTTCTCTTTTGTTTTTAATCTTTGCCTATCTTTGGAGACATCTATTGTTTAAAGATTAAAGATAGTTGGGGACATACAATAGCAGCAAAGCTAATCAAAATGCATACAAGTTATCTCGAGTTCACTAGCTTAAGAGAAAAAGAGTGGGATCCAAATTAAAAGTACTGGTTTTGTAATAGAACCATCAAAGCGTCTTATGAAAATGGCATAATGATCCCAATTCAAAGTCACATCAAGGCTTATGAAAATGGATTCAAGTGCCTTTAATTTCCTAGCTGAAAATGATAGGGTTTGACCCTGACTCATAGTGCTCATTTTGTTATATAGCCGTCATTGATTTTGTGACGGCACAATGGTTTTTCTTTTATCAGGTCTCCAAAGTATGCGAAAGAGTCGTATTTTATATATCCCCAAAATTTCACTTTGCTCATGCATGACTGATAGTTGTTAATAGATAGCAACAAGCTTTGTCTTGTAATATGCAACTGTAGCCGTAACAAAGAGTTATTTTCGAATAATATTCAGATTTAGAGAAGGATAAGGTATCTTAATATCACATTGTTAACAAAAGGTTTGGAAAAGTGTATTAATTGGATTGAAAAGATCAGATGAATATGATGAAGGCATGTCGTTGCTGCTGATGATCAAGAAAAATGATGACAAGTTCAACAAGAAAGATTTTTCTCTTCCCAAAGCAAATGTCTGTTACTGTTGAGTAGTTAAAGTAACTTCGCTGCCCCACAAAGTTCCTATTTCCTAATTGATAGTTAAATGGTTTTCCTAATCAATCGGAAAACCAATCAAAATTCTATTTAACTTTAATTTCTTTTTTGTTGAGTTAAAAGTATGGAGATAATCGCATCAAAAACAAATGATAAGTGAAAAAACAGAAGAGATGGCAATAATAGTAGCTCTGTGATACATCACACTTTCGACAAAGAGATGGAGTAAAACCACCAACAACTGTTGAAGAAATGAGATTGTTAAGATTGAAATTTAGGAACATTACAAAGTAAAAGACAACATCAGAGTGATTATCAAGAGAAATGCATAGTAAGGTAATGAATTGAGAGATGGGAATGGTTAAGATGATCTTACAGTACAAAAGGTAGATCAAATCAGACAGACAAGAAGTTTCAGAACAGTGATATGATAACTATGGATGCTAAAGAGAAGAGATCTTACCCTAGGAAACTAGTGTTAGAATGAGTTCAAAGAAGATGATCCAAGGTAACATGGAATGTTGGAATCAGTTTTCTGGTATCACTTGGGAACATGATCTGACACAAGCTAACTACTTTGATGTTTCAAACTTCAGGACTTCAAACAGGAGGAGACACCCAAAACAGTAAACAAAAGTGCTTCAAAGTTCCAACTCGACGTATATATGTGACCAGTAATTTGGAGAGTAGGCCTTTAAATCATTAGATACCACTATCAAGTGCTCATACAGTTTAGTTCCTTGGTTCTATCAGAATTGTCTCTATTCATCTTTGAATGCTTTTAATTTTGATTGTGTAGGATCCCAGCTCCTGCAGACTCTCAAATCTAGTTCATCAAGGGTGCCAAGGTCCAGAAACAATCATAATGCACGTTATATAATTCATTTCTTGGAAGAAGCAATATGAGGAAATAGCTTTTCGGGAGACAGCAACCTATTTATGACCCTTAAAGATCATTTGCAGAAAGCAAAAGCATGCCTTTTTTCAATAATATACTATATATTTGATCCCCTTAATTATTTTCTCTTCCTGCTAAATCCTTGTGAACGCTTGTAAAAAGTCCGACATCAAGATCTTGACTTGATGACTGACAGAACTTAGATGCTATTGAGCTAGCTAGTTTAGAAAACAGTGTATGGTTCTAAGTCCAGAAGAACTCAAGGAAACCAACGATACCTTCTCTAAGGTGTATGGCTCTAAGTCCAGCATATGTATTGTTTAAATGGAGGAAACAATTCCACAGTATAGATGCCTGCTGTCATGTTTTCTTATTCAAACTTTTTAGTTGAAACTTATCAAAATTATAAACACTAGCAGAAGAAAAATATTGATGTAAAGAACAAAGCACCAAATGCGACGTTTTGCTAAATTGAAACAGATTATATAGATTGGTAGAACATGGGCATGTAATACTGAGATATTGATCAAGCATGATGTCAAAAGAGAAACTTAATTTTCAATATACAGTAACATACAATTTGATATTGTGATAATAAAAAACTAAATTAGGATTATATGGTAATGAAGCTATTACTAATATACAGCCTCCAAGTTAAATCTTTTCCACGGTTGAGGTTGCAAAACATACATTGAAGGTATAATGCACTTCTTTTAGGTGCAAGAACTGAAAAGAAATTGATATGTTTTGCTTTGGAACAAAAGCAATTTGATACATTATCTACAAAAGCAAAAGAGGAGGTAGTGCCACTGGCGGCTAAGTGGGGAGATTATATATTATGTACTTCATAATTACTGCTCTATTAGAGCTGAAGCGAATAAGACATATCTGAATCATGGCTTAGACGGTTAGGGTTCCAACAGTTGGTGATGTTGTGGGCAAGAAAGAAAGGCAAACCAGGGATTTAAGAAAATCAAAGGGGAGACTAGAAAACAATGAGATGGGGATATATAAGTAGGTACAATGATGAATTGACGCATAACAGCATAATTACAACAAGTTGGCTTACTTCAAGGATAACAAGTTTCAGATAAAAGCTCATCTAACAGATCAGATCCCAAGTCCTCAAGAACCAACACGTCGTTTTGCTTATCCTGTTTTGCTTTTCCTCTACGTTTGGACTGATTCTTCATCCTGTGCGCTTCTTTCAGGGCTGCGACTGGAGATGATCCGTCTTCATACATCCACACCATTTCCTGCAATGATTCTTGGACTCTGTCGATCGGGAAGTTGAGGGCTGTTGCTGGACCGCGCATTGCTAGTGCAGCTTGATCATAAGCCAAAGCGGCCTCCTCTGCAGAATCAAAAGTTCCAAGCCAAACCCTTAATCCATTTCTTGTAGAATCCCTTATTTCAGCTGCATATTTCCCCCATGGCCGCTTGCGCACACCTATATAATGCTTCTCTTCAAGTTTCTCAGGCTGTGTTTGAAGGCTAAATATGATTTCAGTGCTGTCAACCTCGCTAGATGAACTGGTATTCGTATCCCATAAGTATTGGACATTCTCCTCATCACCAGAAATGTAGAAATCTAGGTTCTGATCATCAGCTTGATCCATGATCTGCTTGTGGGATGAGAACAGATGGTACCCAGAAAAATGGTCCATCCATGAAGAATTCATTTTCTGAATCTTAATTTCTCTGGTTAGTACTACAATAGTGAGAAATATTTAAGTATAAGAAACTTTGGTTTCTCAGACAATTATGAATTGGAGAGGCAAGGGGAGTGCTAGCATGTTTATATACATAGTGGATTAAAGTACTGTAGTTGTTACTGTCAATAGAATATGACAACTGTTGAACCATGGACATGAATTAGAGCTACGGGAAAAAAAATAAATAAAACTACAAAGAAAACTAAAAAGAGGGATTGACGTCGATTGTTTTCATCTTCTTGATGTCAATTTAGTCCGACGACCAAGTAGAAAGACAAAAATAAAGGATCTTTATTCTCTCTCTGTTTCCTTTTTATGTTATTGTTGATTGAATTCCAAGAACCTGACCGAGAATTTCAAACTTCCATCTTTCCCTTTTACTCATCCAACATTACAGTTTTTCTACTTTATTTGAAGTTAGTCATGGATGGATAAGTTGCTTTACATGACTGCAGGGAGAAATTTTTTCACTCACCTGCAAAATTGAAAAAAGGTTTACTCCTATTTCATTTTACAGTTTTTGCTTGAATAATTGTTATTATGTACTAGGATTGAAGAGCCTAAAGCACTTGTATTTGATCATGGAGACTCCATATATAGATGAAATTTATTCTAA